AATAGAAGATAACAATTTCAAAAAGTCGTTTTTACAGGCTGTAAAATCAATATGAATACAATTTTCGATGCGATTAAGATCGCATAAAGCTCTTGTGATAGGAGCGTTTAATGCATAAACAGGGCCAATATGACAGGACTCAAAGTGACGTAAATTTCTAAGTGGGGCATTAAAACGGATACGTTCAAGGATGGAGGCACAGTCCACCCCTCCGGAAATAATACCAAATACAAAGATAGCGACAGAATCGATCTCCTACATTCCAGCGATTTTAAATTAATGAGCTTACATCTAGCAAGATACGAAGGAATAGGTTCATTAAAATGCAAGGTTCGAAGAGCAAACCTGATAAACACCTTTTGAACTTTTTCAATGCGGTTAACATAACATGCATGATATGGCCTCCAGATAAACGAGGCGTACTCTAACCTAGATCTAACAAGGGTAGTGAAAAGCAATTTAAGTGTATACGGATCAGACTGAGACAATGATTGAGACAATGAAGTTAATATGATTGCTGAATGTAAATTTTCTGTCAAAAATTACTCCCAAGTCCTTGACCTCTGGGACGGACTTTAAATAATAATTGGAAAAATGATAGGAAGTGTGAAAGACTGTGGTACGTTTACTGTAGGTGACGTGATAGCATTTATTAATGTTCAACGACAGGCGATTGGTGTCACACCACGATTTAAGATTATTAAGCTCTGCTTGAAGTATCTGTGAATCATGCGGACTCTTTATTATGGAGTAAATTTTTTAATCGTCAGCATATAGGAGAAATTTAGGACGGGAAAAACAACTACTTATATCATTTATAAACAAAATGCAAAATAAGGGGCCCAAAACGCTTCCTTGGGGTACCCCGGAGGAAGCGATAAAGGGATACGATAATGTATTATCGACATTGACAACACAGCGACGATTACTTAGGTAAGATTTAATCCAATTTAAAAAAATGGAGTGAAAACCTAAAGCAGCAAGTTTATTGTTTTAACTGCAAAAGACACCTTTTCTTTCACTATGCATTCGAATAGTTTCGAAATAGTTGAAAGTTTGGAAATGGGTCTATAATTATGGACATCATTTTTATTACCGCTTTTGTAGATGGGGGTGATAAAAGCTATTTTCCAATCATCGACAAATACCCCTGCGGATAGCGAGTTATTGAAAATTAAATTCTTTGGATAAATAAGAGAATCGCATTTTTTTAATAGAACTGCGGATATCCCGTCAATGTCAGTTCGGTTCGAGGGTTTAAGCTGCACAATGCCATTAAGAATGTCGGTTGTGGTCAAGGTTAGGGATCCAAAGCTAAAGGGCGATTCCTTAGTATTGGAAAGGCTTCCACTAGAGTCGTTATCCAATATGAAGTTTGAGCGGAAAAAATCGGCAAACAGATTCGCAGCCTCAATGGGGG